ATTAGATCCAACTTAGATTCAAGGGGGGAGGATTATACAAGAGCATGGATACCAGGAGGCAGGAATCGGGGAGTCATGTCAGAAGTTGCCTACCACAAGGTATTTTTGGTGTGCAGAAAATAAATAGAATGAAAAGGATCAAGAATCTATGTAAATAGTGAGCTAAATAGGCAGCATGCCAGGGCACAATGTGGTGAGTATCCTTCACCTGTTTAGCAAATGTGATAAAAGTACCTTCTGTGTGGCAGGCATGGCTCCAGAAGCTGAGAGGATAGCAGTAAAAACACAGATTATCCTGCTTCCCTGGATCTTGTGTGAAATAACTTTTCCAAAGAGGCTTTGTGTGTTTAGAGGAAGAGGATCTAGTGTGTGTGTGTGTGTGTGTATATATATATACACATATACATACACACATACATATATGTATATGTATGTAAATTTTTGTCACCCTCAGTAGAGTGCTGTGGTGTCACAGCTCACAGCAACCTCCAGCTCTTGGGCTTAGGCGATGCTCTTGCCCAATGCCTGCCACAATGCCTGGCTATTTTTTTTGGTTGTTGCAGTTTGGCTGGACCTGGGTTCAAACCTACCACCCTCGGTATATGGGGCCAGCGCTGCCTAAACCTAGTGTTTTAGTAAAATAAATTGTTTTCTGAGGAAAGTGATTAAAGTCAGGGTAAAATATGTGAGTGCATATGCTGGTAGATTAATAGCAAGAGCTGAGAGCAGTGCTTCCAGTGAAACAGGATCCCAGGTTACCAGCTGAGGGTCAGGTTAGGAGAGGAATTGTTGGAGAATGATAGGAAAAACCAGCCAGGCACAGTGGCTAGTGCTTATAATCTCAGCCGTAGTGTTAGGAGGCTAAGGCAGAGTGGTCGCTTGGAGACCAGTAGTTCTAGACCACCCTGAGTAACATAGAAAGACCTTGTCTCTAAAAAAATGTTAAAGTTAGCTGAGTGCATTTGACTGCGTAGCTGGGACTTTGGGCGTGCACTGCTAAGCTGATGTCCTCCCTTTGGTTTTCTTCTAGGAGATCTATGGTTTTAGCTGTAACCCTTTAGGTCTTTAATTCCTTTGAGTTAGTTTTTCTATATGATACAGGGTAGATTCCCAGTGTCATTCTTTTTCTGTTTCTTTAAATAGAGAATGAAGCCAAACGTTCTGGCTATAAAAAACACATTTTCATTTACCTAATACATACAAAGGTACTTTTCCCTTGTTATGGTTAAAAACTGATTTTTTTTTCTTTTTTTGGTTAGCAGCCAATATTGCTAATTTGTGATCTCTGAAGAAATCACAGAAAATGTTTATTTTACTCTGTCTGTAGAGCCAAGATTCTGGGTCTGATAATCGTATAAACACAGTCAGTCTCAAGGAAGCACTGGAAAGGTTTGATCATAGCCCAACTCCTTCTGCCTCCTCTCGGAGTTCAAGAAAGTCTTCTCACACAGCCGTCTCAGACCCCTCCTGTGAGTATCCAAGCCTGAAAGTGCTCTTTAAAGCACTTCTTTAAAGAGAGTGCTTCTGAATTGGTTGTTACTGGTGTCAGCATTTTTCATAAAATTCTTTTTAAGTTTTTACATTTCTGAACTACACTAACCTTTCCAGTGGGAATAGGGCTCATTGCTCACCTGTGAATATGGGGCTTATTGCTCACCTCTAAGAAAGAATTAAGTTCATCAAGAAGCCTGTAAAACATGCAGGTAGTAATGTTGGTATTGTTTTTAGCCATCATCCCTTCATAAGGAAGCAAACTTTTTTCTTTTTTACTGTCGAGCCAGTAAATGTTCTTTAAGTTTGCTTTTTGAAAGTTCTTTCATTGTCTTGTCTTTATCAAGACTTAAACAGTTGTCATTAAATTATTAACTCTTTTTACATTTTAAGTTTTCCTATGTCATGTATTTTCTTTGTCCTTAAAAAATGGTAGAAGTGGGGCAGCGCCTGTGGCTCAAAAGAGTGGGGTGTCGGCCCCATATACTGGAGGTGACGGGTTCAAACCCAGCCCCAGCCAAAAAAA